GGCAAACCGTGTGTACCTGGAGCCGCGAATGCATCATGCGCGTCCGAGATCGCTGGATCCAGCAAGTGCTCTGAATCGGTGCGGTCGAGCGTGACACTGAGTGTTACTAAGATCACTAGACACAGCACTTCGTCTTCAACGGGGCTAATAGTGTGCATGGGCAGTCGACCCTTCATTTGCGGACGCATTTTTTAACTAAGGAAGAAATAAATCCGAATGCGAGACGTCGAGACGTCGTTCGCACTGAACTCAAATCTACGCCAGCGACGCAGAAAAAAATTTGAACTGATGCAGCCAGCTCTTGAAAGAGATGCCCTGCGCCTTTAAAAAAATTCCAAACGGCACTTAGAGAAGATGTAGGGAAGACAAAAGAGGAAAAGAGTTCACAAGTATATTTAAAGCTACTCTGCTCGAGCTTTTTGAGGAAAACACATGTGCTGAACTTTCAAGGCCAGTTTTCTCAAAATTGATTTTTTAGCTAGTTGTGGTGCTAAGGAAAGCGATTTCTCAAGAGCTGTTTATCAGATTTGTGTGCCATTTCTTTTATTCTTCTTCTGGATGATTTTACCAGGGTACAACAACCTTTTTATTTTGAAAATTGGTGCCATTAATTAATAATAAACAATTTTTTTGATAAATGTCATACCTTCTGGCTACATCAAATTCAAAGTCGCATAAAATTTTTTTGTAGGGGAAATTGAAAAAAGTGGCTTTTTAGTGCCCTAGGATATCCATCTAGGCACGACCTCAAATAATTTCAGCCTTCTGGTATGTCCTGGGATTTCTTCCGGCTCTTCGTCAGGCACACAAGTGAACCACTCAGACCTCAGTAACCCTAGAACGCCTGAACACAATTTCATGAAACTGCAGTTTTTCTAGTTTTAATCTAGTGAATATATCCTGAAAGTTTCATTAAGATATCTTAAAAAATAAAAAATTTTGGTTTCCGGGGTAGCTGCCACCCTTAATCATTCCATGCTCATCAGCATGTCTTGTGCAACTTTTCTGCATGCTTTTGAAAATGCGCACGCAGTTTTCGGGCCACTAAGATTTTGGAACGATGTGGTTTTTCGATATACATATTGTCTCAGAAATGTCATGTACTGCTAGTCGGCACGGCCGTGCGTATGTGCAGTGACGTTTTCGGTGACTTGGCTCGTGTGTCGAAAGAGTAATGATCACGGGACAAGCCATCTAGGCACAAGAGCAAGAACCTTGGACACAGCCTCACGCAACACTGTAGAAATATAGAGATGCTGTACAAAGCCATATTGTCTCATTGTAACGGCTTGTTATCTTCAAAAATAGTTGTAAAGCTCATAATAAATGTGCTCAAGCATAGTTACAGGAAATTCTGCGAAAGCAGAACTACGACAGCATGCACAAGTTGCCAGAAAGGCTACCCACATCGCTATCAATTCTCATCATTGCTGAATGAAAGGGCTCATCCATGTTCAAAGCATTTCAGATTGAAAAATACCGCTTATAAAATGACTAAGTGCTTTTTGGATTAACTACTGGGTCGGAAATTAAAAACTGGGTCAGAAAAAAATCAGTGGTTGGTCCCTTTAAGGCAGGTTTTGGCTTGGCTACTAACGGCTATAATACTGTCGTCGAGGTGGCCCTAGTTGTGCTCCACTTTTCTCTATGAAAAAGGGAGCGTTTTTCAAAATTCTCGAATCAAACCCGACTCTGGAGTTTGATACAAGGAAAGTAGAAAAAAAAATACTATTGGCCTAGTTTCGAACGGTACGTTCCAGCAGCCTATGGTGCCGAATTTCGTACTACAAAAGAGTTGATTTCTCAGAATTATCTGCTCGTAAAGGGGTGTAGGGGGTTCTGTTCAATAGCGGTGGTGAGCTGCAATTGACGTCATTTCTGTTTGTGTTCGACTCACCCGGGCACACCGCTAGAGCTCCACTTTATCCATGCTGAGATCATGGCTGCCGTTGCCACGCAAGTGTAGCCGTGCAGTTATGATTGTGCCAACGGCTTCACTGCTGCCGCGAACCGACCTTTTGTCGCCCTACAAAGCTTGCATTGTCATTCTGTTTCAATCAACGCTGTTGTAACCGAAAGAGCTGCATTCGATTATTTGAAAAGTTTCAGTGATATGGAGGATGACTAGAACTTGGTGGCGGGTAAGAAGCAAGACAAGTTTACGGACTATTTTCATGCGAAAAAAAAGTGCGGCAACTTGCAGTTCACACCTTGTTCTTCATTATACTGTGAGGAAATTGTTATGTTAGCGCTTGTAACAATTTCTGGGGCCTGAAATGCTTTACTTTGGATGTTAAATATGCATATATTTTGTTTCGATATATCGAACAATTGCATGATAATTTTTGAGTTCAGTATATCTAGAATGTACTTATTTCATATTGCCAGGACGTTAAATATAACCCTCGGAAAAAGTGCTGGTCGTTGGGTCTTGTTTTCTTTTTCAACGTACAGCCCTGTTCTGATTCTGATGGAGTATGGTGCTCTGTGCGCATGGGTGTGCATGACACTGCACGGCTTGAGGAGCTGATTTAGTAGAAAAGATGCAAGAATGGTCTTGTTGGTCGTGATGCATGGCTAAGCATATAGTGCATCATGAAGGACACGGACAGTCAAGACAGGGAAATGTGCTTACGCCAAGGTGATACATACTAATATGTGAACCAAAGGTTCTGAGGCTGCTGGCTGAGCCATAAAAATAATGGATAAATAAAACTATGCGGGTGGGATCCGAATGAATGAGGCTGTTAAAATGTGATGCATTGGCATAAGCAGAGCCACATTGTTCACAAAATCAAGCTCTTTTTTGATGATATTCATTACGAGCCTCAGAAAGTTTGGAAAATTTATTGGGCATTGAAAAAACTACCCATGTGCTTACCTTGCTAGCTGTCCTTCTGAGATGTGGTATGCCGTGTACTCTTGGATCCGATCTCACTTAACTGTACAAAAAGCTTGTGTACGAGTATACGGCTACTTCAAAACTTCGAAGAGAGCAACACTTTTTGTGCAGTCTCTTCGCGATGACAGTGCCCATGTACTCTTGGATCCGATCTCACTTAACTGTACAAAACGCTGGTGTGCGGGAGTACAGCTACTTCAAAACTTCGAAGAGAGCGCCACTTTTTGCGCAGTCTCTTAGCGATGACAGTGCCCGTGTACTCTTGGATCCAATCTCGCTTAACTGTACAAAACGCTGGTGTACGAGAACACGGCTATTTCAAAACTTCGAAGTGAGCAATACTTTTTGCACAGTCTCTTTGTGATGACTGTGTCCGTGTGCTCTTGGATCTGATCTCACTTTACTGTACATAACACTGGTGTACAAGAATACGGCTACTTCACAAACTTCGAAGAGCGCAATACTTTTTTCACAGTCTCTTCGCTGATGACAGTGCAGCATGTTGATGTGTAAGCAGAGCACCCTCTGATGGCTGTAGAGCTAGCTAGCGTGCGTGGCGCCAGCAATCGCGACCACGTTCTGAGAAGGAAAGTTCATAGTCGTTGCTCGAGCAGCAACTCCTTCTCGCTTCTTTTAATGCTCTTTTAAGACTCCCAGAGTGCTTCCTCTCGGCTTCGAGGACAGGCTTCCTTGGTTGGGGGATGCTATCGCACGCGCTCTCAGTGGGATGCAGATATGACAGATCGTTTGATCTTTGCTTCAGCCACGTTTGTCGTTCCCGCTTGCACGCTTATACACGCAGATAGAGCATACGATTCAGGGGGGCATGTTGTCATTTTGGAATTTATAGTGAACATGACTGCAACGGGGCAAAACTCGTTGAGAGTGTCCATATAATTTCTTTTGTCCTAATAAGGTTATTCCATTATTTAACTGAACGTTTTAAAAAATGCAGCACTGAAAAAATGTTGCTTTGCTAGGTGCTTTGAACGGACCTCCATATGCTCTGTTCTTGCAGCTCCAAACTTTTCCGAGAAGGCCCTTCTGGCTGCTCCGAGTTTGCTACAAAAGGCACTTTCGCTTGCTCCCAAACCCATGTACCCTGTTCCACTCCTGTTCTTGCGAAAAATAAAGCATTCAGAATGGGGGCTATTTAGGAAGAAATACACCCACCATGTTTTTAAAGATAAACATCACTGTTCTAAACTGAGAAGGTAGACCACATGTGAGAGGACAAAAAGCCTGTTTGGAAAACTGATGGCTCCGTGAGTGTGGATGCATCTTTCTACGCGGCTGAGAAAGTTATGTGATAGTGAATATTGAATGTCAATTGATAACGCTCCGATCGTTGGCTTTTAACATAAAAACTTAGTCACTGGTTCTGAGTTATATACTGAAAAAAATAAACCGAAGTAGGACTGATTGATAGTTGGGCTAGTTGGTGATACATTATGGGCAGCAACAGAGCACCAACTCACGGGACGAGTTTGGGCGCTGTTTGTGTTTCCTCTCTTCGTCCTGTGAGTTTGTGCGCTGTTACTGCCCATAATGAAAAAATAAGTTATCAGTCCCTAATATCTTTAACTTGGTTTGCAAAAACAATGCTATTCTTATTTTTCATACCAGATGCTTTGTTTTGAAACAGTGACCTGAAAGGGGTTGTTTGGCTTACACTTTGCACAAGAAAAACACACCCAACACCGCTGATTCACTGTTATCAGCACTTTCAGACAGATTAGTGAAATCCATTTTTCAGTTTTATCGAAAAATGGATCTCACTGGGCTGGTCCAGGGTGTTACTTATGGGTTCCTTTGCATTTTTAATGTTACAAGAGCTGCAAATAATATTCTTCTTGTAATACTACTGCAAATGCTTAACGTATGAGGCAGGAATGTTACTGGAGCGACACGGAAAAAAGATGCTGGTACATGGCTATGTGCAAGTTCTTTGCTGAAAGTGAATGCGCCAGAAAGTAATGCCATCAAATGCCAAGTTCTTTGGCAGGCACACACACACCCATGCTTACCTACTTGTTTGTAAATAATTTAACCAATGTGGAATTTCTCTGCAATATTTTTTTCGTTTCTGACATTTCAGGCAGGTGTCTACTCATTCAGCATCTTGACCATGCGTGCCCCTGAATACATGGCTTGGCTCCATGACAGAGTGCCTGTAAGTGAATATGCCGAGTTTTATGTCACAGTTGAAATTCATAGATTCTTTAAGGTCCACACTTGTTGCCTCCCATGTCAGTGGCGAGAAATGAAGCTCTTAAGAAGGTGGTGGGTGCCTCATAATATGTCACATATGGAGTGCACTTTCCTCACTCATACTTATGTCCTTTTGTGCTGGTGCATAGCGCAAGTTACTGTGCTCTGTGTACTACAGTCGTACTCCACTGCTATGAAACTGATGAGGCACGGAAAGAATTTTGTTGAAGCGAAAATTTCGGTGTAGTGAAATAGAAAAAATTATAGCTGACCAGAGCTGATGAAACAAAAAAACTTTTATTCGCAAAATTCAAAGACTGTTGGCCCACTTCCCTGTCTTTCCCAGTAACATCATGGTGCAATTCTTACACATGCATAGCAACGACATGTTAAAAAGCACGCTGAAACAACGGCAACAACGGCTTTCGGGAACAAACCTAATAGTTGTACCAACATTACAACACCAGCAGCTGACCACCCTCAAAAGGTATCTTTTGATGGTAGGTGGAGGCGCGATATGGCGGAGGGGTGACTTTTGCTGTTCTTATCATCCACGAGACACGGCTGGCTGGTTTTGTGAATAACACGGACGAACAGCCGCTCTGACCAATGACCACACTAGCCAAATGCGAAAAGAATCAAAAGAATTTCAAATCAAAATCAAATCATTTTATTTTCCCAGAAAGAAACAGGTTCTGGAGAGGTTCACTGGCTAAAAGTTGTTTATGGACAGCTTGACGAGGCCAGTGAACCCTATACAAGGCAGGTGGGACAATGACAAAGATGTGTATAACAATAAAGACCATAAGCTAACATTACAATACCAAATATGGTGTAATAAAAACATATATATACATTCCTACGAAACATCCTGATACCAGCATAGCACAGAAGATTACATGGACGCGAGCAAAAAAAAAACAAAGAAAAAAAAAAACAAAAGAAAAATTCAGTAATCATAACACCATTATTGCCAAAAAAATGAAATAATAAAAATAAATAAACGATGAAAATATCAGGGAAGATATATACAAATTTGCTCCTTGTGTATGTGCTGCATCATACAATGTACATCACATGTCAGACAAACAAAATTATACAGACAGAATTATATCATATAACCTATTTGGTACAGCATGGATGCACACACTGAATTCGAATAGTAAAAGTCATTGTTTTATGATTCAACTGAACTGAGCGACTGAGCTTCAGCTTCAGATGGTCTGCGGCTCAAGGACAAGCCAGTGGCAAAAGGAAGGCACTCTCATTGCCAACACTATCTAGCAATGGCAGCCGCTATGCTTAGTAAACATCGGCAGCTTTTGGCGGTGCCAACACGCATTTTAGACTTTGTAGATGCATTTTTAAGTTTTGAAAATGCATCGAAATGTTCAAGATTGTGCTAACTCTACGTCATTAAATTTCTGAGCCTGGAATCGAATCGTCAAATTTCGTTGCAGAAGAAAAAGTGTTCGTTGTGTCGACAATGTTTATGCATTGACTCCCTTGGGCTGCTGACGGGAAAGCGAGAATTTTTCGTTGTAGTGGAAATTTTGTTGAAGCGGGGCGCGAGTGTATATTCTTTTTTTTCTGGGCTTACATTATATATTTTTTTAAAGACTGATGTCTGACATTGTTGTGCCCAGAAGTGATGAAGAAGAGGTGAAAGAAGGAATATGCGTGAGCAACCCCCAGTACCTTATTTACTAGAACATCTCGAAAGGTGGTTGTGTACATGCAAGCTTTTCATCTCAAGTAACTCATATCACTGACACATTCAGTGTAAAGTGAATGAGGAGCGCTCGGTGTACTCACCAGGGTAAACAAATGCACTACATGTTGCTTTCAGCTGTCACCAGTATTCTTCTATTGAAATAATGTTGCGACTACCCGCAGACTTCACTCTACCGGATGATGTGTATCGCCGAGTTACCAGCATTTAGTAGTTGTAGCTCTTATGAAGTTGCCTTCACTGCAAAGCTGGACACCTTGCCTAAGATTGGGGAAGAATAACAAGAAAGTTGAAGAAAATAAAGCAGTAAATACAGTTAAATCTTAATACAAATAACGTGGGGAGAATACTGCTGCAGCAGATCTCGCAGCCGGAGAAAGCGTGGCGGCGACTGTGACCGCTGCCTGCAGTACTTCAAGTATGCGCAATCGAGCTGCGAGGATAGATGCAACATTTTTGACATCGGCTGACCGAGAACTCATCGAGCATTGCGCCCAGCAAAAGCAGCGAAACTTTCCTCAGTCTCGGCAACCGATCGCAAAATGAGTGTTCTCATGAGTCAGCGCGGCATCGAAAATTCGTTGGCCCCGATGTATACCATAGTTGACCTCGACATGGTGAACAGTTTACTAAACGAACATGCTGCTTGCCGAGTGCGCCATGGTCAGTTGACCATCGAACGCGACACGTGTGAGTATGGCGTAGCCGTTAAGCTGAAGCTTCACTGCAGCAACTGCGGAGAAGTTGGTTCGAAATGGAGCTCGCGAGGGGTTGGTGGCAGCAGTAACTGCAACCCGTTCGAAATCAACGTTCGCACGGCGCATGCAATTCAGAGCACAGGAAATGGTCAGACAGCTCTGAATGACATCTTTGCCGCTATCGGTGTTTCACATTGGGGCCTTCACACGAAAACGTACCAAGAGTATTTGAAAATGAAGCTTGAGCCAGCAGCATTGAGAGCTTGTGCCGAACATTTGACTAAGTGTGCCACAATGGTAAAGTGCCTCTACGAGGACCTCAATTTCGGTAACCTGGGAAATATTGCCGTCTCTTTTGATGGAAGCTGGCACACAAGAGGACACACCTTTCACGTTGGAATAGCCACTGTGATAAAAGTTTTTTCGGGTTATGTGCTAGACTATGTTGTTCTTTCTATGTTTTGCCTCGGCTGTGAATGTGGTCCAAAATCCGAGAGCCCAAAATACTCTGAATAGAAACCAAACATTCATGCCAGAAAAATATCTCATGCAAGGCTGGCCAAATGGAAGTAGATGCAGCAATGATTTTATTTCAGTGCTCCCTTTCGCTTCATGGCCTCAGGTACACTACCATGCTTTGTGATGGTGACAGCCGGTTGTACAGTGCTGTCAAGAAAGCTAAGGTGGACGGCTTCATAAATGTTGAAAAAGAAGACTGCTCGAACCACGTGCAGAAGCGCATGGGGACTGTGCTTCGGAACCTTGTGCAGAAGCCCAAAGGGTACAGCAGCGAGCGCATCAGTGGCAAGGGCTGCCTCACAGGCGACCTCATCACAATATTAACAAGTTATTAAGGCTGGGCTTTGATTGATTGATTTGTGGTGTTTAACGTCCCAAAACCACCAAAGGCTGGGCTTTGAAATCCCATTCTGGGATTGTGGATGAGATGCACAAGGCTGTGTGGGCTACGTATCATCATGTGACATCCACTGACGAGAAATCAAACCACAGCATCTGTCCACAAGGCCCCGACCTGAGTCTTGGTGCAAGCTTAATGCAGCCATGGCAAAAAATGAACCCATCCCAAAAAGCAAGTACAATTTGTTAGAGTCTGTGAGCAATGGCAAAAAATGAACCCATCCCAAAAAGCAAGTACAATTTGTTAGAGTCTGTGAGCAATGGCAAAAAATGAACCCATCCCAAAAAGCAAGTACAATTTGTTAGAGTCTGTGAGCAATGTACTGCGTCCTGTTTATGAACACTTGTCCGACAAGAAGCTCCTGCAGAGATGCACCAGAGGGAAGACGCAGAATGCGAATGAGGCTTTGCATTCGGCCATTTGGAGCCTCTGACCGAAGGACAAGAACGCGTCATTGTTTGCCGTTAAGACTGCCATGGCACATGCTGTTATGCGTTTCAACTTAGGGAACGACGAATCTAGTTCGCTTATTTTGCATGAACTGCAGCTAGATCAAACATGCACAGGTAACCAGCAGGGGGTTGAGAAAGGCTATCGTCTTGCCGTCGACTCGGAGAGGAAACGTGCATTTTCAGCGGCGTTCTAGGCAGCCGCAAAGAAGAAGCACAAGCAAAAGCCTGCTTCAGACTACTCCGCAGGGGCTTTCTGAGTGATTGTGAATACAAGCGCTGTGGCTTTCATGCATGAAATTTTCATTTTCACAACTTTTTCATTTTTTTTGCATTTTTCTCAAATGCAGATTTTTGCATGTCTTGAATTTCGGGATGAGCACTGTGTCGGTAATACTGATTCGGTTTTCTTTATCTTTTTTTGTTTGAATGCTAGGGTATTAAAGTGTGCAAGAAAAACTTGATAAAATTTTTAAGGACATTGTAATATTTTGCAATTTTTCAAAAATCACCAGTGAAAATTCAGAGCTAAGAGAGTGTGACATAAAAACTTTGTAACATTGGGTAAAATTTAGATACTAGCATGAAATTGCATATTTGCACTATTTGAATATTCAGCAATATACAGGTTCAATTATAGCGCTTTTGATGCATTACTTTTTATGCAAGTCACATCCCAAATTCATAAAGTAAGAATAGTTGTAACTTTTTTTTATTGATGTAAAGAAATTGTAATTAAATATTTTCAATCAGTGTACAAAGCTGAATATTCTCTGAAAATAATCATGTCTCTAAGCCTAATACTAATATATTTCACTATCGGGTCCCACGTTCCCCCTTAAGGGGAGACACAGCTCTTGCGACCCGAAAATTTGCCCAAAAATCAAATTTTCAAGAAAGTAATTTTCGTATTCTTTCTACCACTGTGTACCTGTGTGCAAGTTTTTGTTTCGGAATACCGCATATTAGTGGCGTAACAGTAAATCAAAGATGCGCTGGCACACCCCCAGCCCTTTAAATTGGGGACAAATTGCGTATATTTCGGCTGCCTCTAACTCTTGGAACAACCCACTTCACCGTGGCATATTGGTATCGTTGAAAAGCTCTTGCGTTTGGGTTTTTTGATCGCTCGGTCAGGCAACGGTGAGCTTGCCACTTTCTCAA